TCGGCACTCCCCAGAGTTCCCTCTTGGGCCCTTTGTTCCCCCCTCTGTACACACTCTTCCTGGTGACCTCATGTTTTCCACTGGTGGAAACCACCACCCATGTGCTGATGACTGTGGCCCACTGAGCCCTGAATCTCACACAGGCAGGGCCGACTGCCTGCCTGGCACCTCAGGGGTCCCCCAGGGGTCAGAGATACGAGAATAAGCCCAGTGGGTTTAGGACCATGAGAGACAGCAAATAGTTGGAGATGTGTTTTTAACTAAAAAAAAAAAAAAAAAAAGGCAGATGTAGACAACTTGTAAAAGCTAAATGTGTGCTAGACATACATGTGTCCCCCATGTACACATGTACATACGAACACTGTCTATAATCCAGAAAGACAGATGTTAACATGCTGACCGTCATTATCCCTGGGGGACAGAATTGTGGGTGATTTTAAGACTTCTTCTTGCTGATTTGCATCATCTAATATTTCCATAATGAGCATTCACTGCTCAGGTTGAAAGAAGTAACACTTCTTTTTAAGTGAAAAGAAAGTATTTTTAGATCGAGATTCCAGAACTGTTCAGTGTGAGCCTTGGGAGGACTGTAATTATCTGGAGCAGGGTCAGCAGCGTCTCTGGCAAAGGCCAGACAGTCCGTGCTTCAGGCTCCGGGGGCCATTCGGTCCCTGCAGCAACCATACGCTCCTACCCAGGGGCAAGTGCCCACAGACGGATGGAAGTCCAGTCAGCTGTGCTCGTGGGCACTAACCTTTGAATGTTGAACACTTTTCAAGTGTCACAAATATTAGTGTCTTCTGTGGAATTTCCCCAGCCACTTAAAGCTGTAAAAAACATTCTTAGCTCATGGGCCATACTAAAACAGGCTGGCTTTGGCCAAGAGCCACGGTTTGCCAAGCCTTGCCCTGGAGCGCCCAGTGCCTGTATGGCATTAGAATCTAGCAGCCACCAGGTAAGGCAAGAAGCTAGGAGACGGTGGCCCTGGTCAGTGTGGCTAGATGGTTAGAGCATCGGCCCATGAACCGAAGGGTTGCGGGTTCGATTCCCAGTCAAGGGCATGTGCCAGGGTTGCAGGTTTGATCCCCAGTCCCAGTCAGGGTGCGTATGAGAGGCAACCAATCGATGTTTCGCTCTCTCTCCTCCTTCCTCCCTCCCTCCCACCCTCTCTAAAAGAAACAAAATCAGTGGAAAAAATATCCTCAGGTGAGGATTAACAACAACAACTAAGTAGCTCGGAGTTTGTGGACGTTATCTCATTGGAATCCGCACAACCACATGAAGTAACACTATTATTACTCTCCCCATTTGCCAAATGAGGAAACGAACATGGGTGAGCAAGTTCCCTCGTTTAGGCAACCACTTACTGAATGGCGGAGGCAGGACTGAATTGACCCCTGACCCAAAGCCCATACATGGCCTCCACCCTGGAGGTTGACAGGAGGGAGACGTTCAACAGGGAGAAAAATGAACGACTGCACGAGCCATTATAGAGTCACCTTGTCCATCCCAACCCCTAAGGCAGCGGTTCTCAACCTGTGGGTCGCGACCCCTATGGGGGTCGAAAGACCCTTTCACAGGGGTCGCCTAAGACCATCGGAAAACACATCTATAATTACATATTGTTTTTGTGATTAATCACTATGCTTTAATTATGTTCAATTTGTAACAATGAAAATACATCCTGCATATCAGATATTTACATGACGATTCATAACAGTAGCAAAACTACAGTTATGAAGTAGCAACGACAATAATTTTATGGTTGGGGGTCACCACAACATGAGGAACTGTATTAAAGGGTCGTGGCATTAGGAAAGTTGAGAACCACTGCCCTAAGGGAAGACGTTAATGTTGGGGGTGGGGCGGAAGCACAGGGAGAGACCACCATGCAGAGTTCCAGGGCAGGGGTCTCATCACTCACTGTCCCCTCCAAAGTCCCGGCCAGGTGTCTCTGAGACCAGGTGTCCTGTCTCACCGGGGCCACTCGTGTGAGCAGAGAGCATCAAGACCCTTTTCGGTTCAAAGCCAAACCGCATCCCTCCTTGCCGCCCGATCCCTCCTCCGCTGCAGATGGAGCCACCATGGAGGCTGCAGGAGCAGATGGGCTCTACTTCCACAGGAGGGCTGGCTGAGATGGGCCGCCGCTCTCCTCTTCCCGATTTGCGGCTGCGCCCGCGGGCAGCTCCTGCCGGCCCAGCCACTGGTGTGTCCTGATCCTGGGTGTGAGCCCCTCTACCTCAGTGGCTCTCAACCTTCCTAATGCCGCGACCCTTTCATACAGTTCCTCATGTTGCGGTGACCCCCCAAGTTCATTGTTACAAATTGAACATAATGAAAGCATAGTGATGAATCACAGAAACAATGTGATTATTTATGTGTTTTCCGATGGTCTTAGGCGACCCCTGTGAAAGGGTCGTTCGACCCCCATAGGGGTCGCGACCCACAGGTTGAGAACCGCTGCTCTACCTGACCGACGTGAGCCCAGCCTTGGAGTGGGTTCTGCGTGTGTGTCCACAGCTGTGGGGACCAGAACACGACAAGACTGACTACCCTTGTCTGCTCCCACCCCCTGGAGATGGGAAAGTGCCCACTCAGCAGCTCATGCCAGGAGGACAAAGGTGAAGGGTCCGGGTGGGTGGGGAGCGAAGGGGTTGTGGCGGGACACGGGGCTAGGGAAGAGAAATGGGACTCGTTCCCAAAGGGATCGTGAAGTTAATCAGGTGAGTCTGGACTCAGGCCAGCCACTCCCTCATGGACAACAGAGCAGAACAGGGACTGCAATTAATTAAGTCCTGGGGGAGGGGGCTCGTCTTACCCCAGGGAAAGGAGGCCTGCCCGAGGCCTCAGAGGAGGAGGCTGAAGGTTTCCAGCTCCCAGTGCCTGCCTTATTCACCCTGGAAGCTAGAGGGTAGAGTCCCCACAGCACAGATTCCTGGTTTCCTCTCGCAGGTTTCCCTCCAACCTGTACCCCACCCCCCTCGTTCTCTTATGCAGAGCCTCCCTCCCCAACCTGGAGGGGCAGGAAAGAGACTAAGAGCCTGGCCTGACGGGATTCGGAAAGCCTGCCTCGGTCTCTCTCTGTCCCAGAGCAGGCGCAGCGCCGTGACTAGGAAATCCCTTTCCAAATAACCAACAGCGGTACGTACAGCTATGGGTTGCTTAGCAGCTGCTGCGTGCCAGGAACTGTGTTCCTTCACTCCCTTTGCACAGCAACCCTCCCGATCAACACCCCCATCTCCCAGATGAGGCAGCCGAGGCTGGGGGAAGCTCAGGCGTTTGCTGGGGAAGGAGGGGTCACACAGCTGGTATGTGCTGGAGCTGGGCTCCATCCAGCCCCTCCCTTCAGGCTTCAAACTGGAAAAGGAAAGAAGGGATCAGGGGAGAGAGAGAGATGGAGATGCTGGACAAAAGTCCAAATGGGGCATCCCAGGGAAAGGAGAGGCAAGCTTGGGGCAGGAGCTGGGAGGACCCAAGCCAAGCTCCGCCCAGCAGCCTGGAGCCCGTGTGCCTGGGCACAAGAAGGAACAGGTGGGCAGAGGACAGAGTCTGGCTTCGAGAAAACAAATGCAGCTATGAAGGCAGCACCATCTCCCAGAAGCCCTAGGGCAGGGAGGGGCTTTCCAAGGTGGGCAGCCGAGCCCCTGAGACCCCAGACCAGGAACCTACTCGTTCCTCAGATCTGGTGCCCTCTCTCCTGCGCCCCATGGAGAGGCTGGCTCTGCCTGGCACAGGACACACGGGAGTCTCTTACTGGAGCGCCACCCCCATCCTTCCTTCTCCTGAGGCCGAGGTGGAGCCAGGGAGCTCCAGGTGGGCTGGGATCTCCTCTGATGGGGCAGAGGCTGAGCAGGGAGCCGGGGGTCCCCTGGAAGTGGGCTGGATCCCACCTCTGCGACGTTGGGAAAGTTGGTTTCTCAGAGCAGCTGTGACCTCCCCTGTCATGTGGGGGTGATAACACCTCCTCATAAAGCTGTGTGACACACTGCTTGGCACCGAGTAGATACTCAGTAAATGGTAGCCACTAGGGTAACGCACTGAAGCCTGCTCTAGCTCTGGAAACCCAATAAGTTTGGGGAGTATGAAGGCGGGGAGACTCCCAGGGACCTAATGGGCAGTGTGGTGGCAGGGGTGGGGGGAGGTCAGCCTCCCTGGCTCATCAGCTACACAGGAGGCGGCCGGGGCAGGGCCATCCTAGACAGTAGCTTTGCTGGGTGGCAGGGTGACCCTATCCAGCCGGCCTTCAGGATGCAGACCCAAACCCAGGAGCCCATGTTGCCTCACTTCCCCCCAACCCTAAGCCACTGTGGTCTCAGCCCCCTGCCAAGGCCAGGCTCAAGGCCGGGGACCTGAGAGGACCAGGCAACCCTGTGTCTTCGAGGATGTGGCCCCCTCAGGCCAGTGTGCAGGAACCTGTTGGCCAGACTCCCCAGGCGTCTTCGAGGATGTGGCCCCCTCAGGCCAGTGTGCAGGACTGTGCTGCGTGCCCAGCCCCGTGGAAAAGGCCACACGAACGTGCCGCTCTCACAGGACGCTGACGCAGGAGGGGCACGCCAGTGGTGTCCCTGAGTCACCAGGGCCCAGGCCACAGTTGGGCAACGGCTGAGGGCCGGGCTGGGGGTGGGGATCGGGTGCTCAGAACTGACCTCCACTCCTCGCCGCCCCAACTCCCACCCCTGCGGCAGGAGGGGGCTCAAAGAGAATTAGAAAGAGGCCAGTGGTGCCAGGTGGGATGGTGACCCCATGGCACAGAAAATCAGTCTCAACAGTCACTCCCACCACAGGCCTGCGTCCTCGTCCTCCGCACGGCATTTCCCACGCCTGATCCTGTCCCCCGCACAGCACAGCCCGCCAGCCCCATCCCTTAGCCCAGCAGGCCGCCCACCCTTTCCCATGGCTGTTAACCCTTCGCCAGTGACTACCACGCAGGGGGCCACTGCCCCCCTGGGCTCGTGGGTGGGAAGACAGAGGAGGCGGCAATCCCCCGAGGCCGCACTCACCCCTCCCACCACCTCCAGCGCTGGAACATGCAGAGCCTCCCGCGTCCTTCCACCTTCACCCCGGGGCCCCGCCTCGCCCCCAGCTGCGCTCTAGAAAGTTCCCGGGAGCCCCGAAAGCCCTTGGGGCAGCGATCTGGCCCCACACTCGCCGGTTCCCTCCTCCCCCGAGACGCCTGACCCTTGCCCTCCCCAGAAGGAAGGGCACTTGGAGAGCGCCAGGTTCGCCGCTGAGTGGAAAACTTTGCTTGCCGGGGTTCAGCCCAAGCTCGGGGCCCCAGGGAGTCCCGATGCAGAC